CATACACATCATTGTATTTTAACAAATACAAAATACCACTTGGATAAACTCTACATGACCTTAACATGTACTAAAAATAAATTATCGTTTCAAGTCTGGAAATTCCCAACTTGGCACAGTTAGTTTCCAGAAAAAATCTCAAGAAGATGACATTAAAGAAACATAAAAGTGGAACGCATGCAATAATTCTTTAAGATTTATGCACTTATATTATATCATGATGGGAGTAAATTTCGAATCCTGACTAGTGTTAGTGTTGCAGATATATATGCATACTGAGACAAAGGATTGTTTGCTCAACCTAGATAATAGGTTTGTAGGAAATGTTAAGGATAATCAAGATTGTGCAATGCACACTTTTCACTTTTTGATAATATCATGATTATTGCAACGAACGACAAACGTTTAACATGCTTAATTTGTTTTAAACACTCGTTTATTTGCACATTTATATCATTGGAATGCTGATGGGAAAACCACTGCTATCTTTTGTATATAAGTAATAAATCCTGAAAAGAAAATACGCATGAATTGGCTTCTTCTTTTTCGTTAATTATTTATATGAAGCGAAAGTTAACAAATACGAAACTAGTACATTTCATTGATTCAATCTGTCTTAAAATAGCTGGTTTATTTAAAATACGCAAATTACTTCACGCATTGCAATTTATACACCAATGTTTATAATTAAAATATATAATGCGAACTTAAATAGTTAAATGCGCAATACTTTGATAATCAAAATAAAAAGCAAGCTACCTAGTTCGTTTCTTCGTTGGACATAACAAAACTCGATCCTTCATTGTAAGTATGTCATTATGTTAACAAGTTAGCCTGATTTATTTAAAGATATTCAAACAAAATTTTATCAAACTGTAAATTAACAGTATTATCATGTTATGTTAAGGATCAATTTGTAGGAATTTTTATACATATTATAGTCATTTGAATTTAAATTGATCCGCAACACTTTTTTCGTTAAAAAAAAGAAAAGGTAACAGATTGTTTATTAATTTGCGCAATAAAAACATTATTGCACAACCATGTTGCGAATGGTCTATAATATTTTAGAAGAAATCAAACTGTTTTGAAGTTTATGATTTTCTTTTATTTGGAACCGTGTCAAGTTTGATTTTTTTATCTCCTCGTCGTCATTATAATTTTACACCGCATGAATTCTCAATATTAGGAAATTACCTCTTGTCTTGAATGTACCGATTTCAAAATGACATGTTAAGATTAAAAGACCAAATTTTTCATGAAATGGAAAAGGACAGATATTTCGAAATTCCACGAGAATAGACGGATTTTATGCCAAATCGGTGAAACGTTCTTATGTCGTTGTTTTTTTGTTTTTTTTTCTTCCAATATTTTTTTTGATATAGCCTCCGCCGTTTCTATAGAAGTAATTAATCATGACCAAATATTTCTACGTATTTACGTACACATCCTGGCTATCAAATATATTTGTTTGAGGTGAAAGGTAAACTCAGGAAAGCACTTCGGACGCACGAAATTTATAATGTATAATTTGTATTCATGACTAATTATAATGGGTTTTCTCTTGTTTTATAGAAATGTAAATAGTTTATGTATCAAATCAACATTTAGCCTTAAAATATAGAAAAACTCGATTCTGAAGAGAGATGGTATTTAATTATTTTTGTTTCATAAGTTTTAATGACAAAGCAGTAGACTCAAAACATGCCTACTGCCTACAAATGATGGTCACATTAAGTATACCCCTTAACATTTAATATCGTTCAATCATAAAGCTGTTAAACTTTCCCTTTTGAAAAAAGTCAATATTGTTAGTAAAAATAACGTCAATTTCACGCTTTGTTCAAATCCCTATACAAAATACTTGTAATCATAATCTTTCATTTTTTGAAATAGTGATTGATCAATATCTAAGATCTGCAATAAACATTTGTGAAAATTTAACAACTAGCCACCCGAGGTGTAATTTCATATTGAATAGTATTTGTGTGAAGACAACTTTTGTTCTCAAAATTAAATGTAATTTGTTATAATTTATAAAACTGTCTATGTATTCTTACAAATAGAATAAAATATGTTATAAACAGAAATACACACCAAAGTTACATTACAATGTAAAGGACAAGTGGTACTATGAACTTTTTTTATTTCTTAGAGATCAAAGTAGACTTGAAATCTTTTAAGATATCTTCAATCGTCAAGGAGGTCGAGCGAATTATGTTTTTGTTACTTAAACATGGTTTATTGGGTATTTAGAGTCATAGCACTGAATCTAGAAAGAATTATAAAATAATATATCAGGACCAAGTTGTCGTAAATTTTTAATAGCAAGTTGCCGTACTGTTCATGTGTCAAGTAGAGCAAGTTGACGTACTCGCAATCTGATTCACTTTCACCGATATTATTTCGAAAACACCCCTTTTTTTTAATTTTTAAATCTCGGAAAATATGAAATCAAACTTTCATTTTCTTATAATTCATGCGGAAAAAAGTAAAAATTGATTGAAAATCTGGCCTGCGGGGCGACGGAAGAAGATCGACCTCAAAATTTTCAGGTAGTAGGTGCACATAAACAAATATTGTAACATTACTTATTCTCAAATTAACAACATCAATACTTCAATAGTTTACTTAAAGTATAGCAACATCAAAAGACTATCATTTTCAATATCGGTTGATATATTTTCAAAATCATCCTGTACCATGTCCCCACCCCAAATATATAATGCTAACCTGCTAGGTTGGGTTTTGGATGTTATATGAAAAAGTTATGAAAACACGTAATTTTTCGATGATATTTTCCGATATCGAAATGCTATAAGATAACTTCGGATACGAATGCCCTTTCAAATCTATTTCAGAAAGGTTTGTTAAACCTGAAAAATCTGATAACATAGTCGTTCGTTGCCTCCTTTTACATAATAATGGAAGGTGTTTCATTTCGACGGTGAATTTTGATTTAAGGTAGTTGAATGTAACTTCGGAACGCGGTTTAAATCATGCGTATATTTGTAAAGTTAAAGTAGTATTTTCGTTTCTCAATATCATTATTTGTAAAAGTTAAGAAAATTTTAAAATTGATGCAAGTCATATCATTAAACATTATCACAAAAGCTCAAAGAGTAATTACTAGGTAAAACAGTTGGAGAACCCTTATAAAAACTGTCATTAAGTGGTCTACTTCAAGATGTGAGGAATACAGAACAGACTTATATAAAGCATAAAAACTATCTAAGAGCTTTTGACAATGCAACTGAAGGTGGCAAAAGTTATCCATAGTAATAAACTGAATACAAAAGAACCAAAATAATGGTGCAAGTTAGAGACCAGCTTTCTTTCTCAATAGCACACAACCAATGAGTGTTTAAAGAATATGGGCATGCACCACAAGCACGGAGACACATTCTCTATATCCACACAGCACGAAATGAAAACCTTGCAATCAATATACAAATAAGTAGATCGAGTACGATTTTCAACTGACCAGAAAGGAGAATATTCCGGCTACCGTTAGGCCTTAAACAGTGATTAAAATACATACCGTTTAGTCACCTGTAGAATTCCTGGCATGTAAAAACGTGGAACAATTCAAAAGAGAAAACAAATGGCATGATTTATACATCATAATGAATGAAAAAACAAATATGGCTAACAGCAACCAATTTACGACAACTAATGGATTACAGGTTTCTTGTTAAAGAGACCAAAACAATAGATGGGGTGGGTTTAACATGTATCTGAGCGTAACATCCCCTTATCCGTAGAAAATTTATCAATACAACATAAGAACCAACTGTAAAAATCAGTTGGTAAGGACTAAGCTCGAAAACAAATAACAAAATGATAGATGATAGAGAATGCCGATCTAAGCGTCTAATAAACATTCGTCAATAGTTATCAGTAATTAAGTTGTGGTTATATTAGGCTACATAAGCAAAAGCATCAACCTGTTTGCTTACAAAAGCTGTAAAATGCAAATGCTAAAAAGATAGGAATTAATCATACATTAAGCTCAAATTTTTCCTCCACGTTTGAATTTAAAGAAAATAGTTCTTATCATATGTATAATATATTTTAATCTTTTGATTGCAGGATTCATTTAAGCCAACATGGACACTCAATGCAGATATCGCACTCACAGACATTGTTACAGTGATACTTCTGTATTGTGTCTATCTAGTGGACAATTAGAAGTATATTCTCATGACCTTTATTTTGACAGAAAGGTTCAAACAATAAAGAAAAGTCAACTGACGAAACAGACTGAAAAGACATTCAGATATTTCAGATTATTCCCAGTAAATAACTGTTGTCTTGGAGTACAAAGAAAATTTCGTATGAATCTGAATCCAATTCTTGTATTACTATACTGTTTTCTAATACTCGTTCAGAATTTTTACGATGTGAAATTTGAAAGAGACAGGAAACATTTTAAACAAGACAAGATTGGTAAACCTGATATTTTTGCTGATCCGTTGAGGTTCCATACGTTTTCACTGTCTGTGGAAACTGTTATGCCTTCTAACATGGACAAGTACTTCAATAGCATCGCAAAAGGTCAAGTTCAAAGAACTAATGACTCAATGTCAGTTGAAATGTTGCGAATATATTCACTACGTAATTTTCCGCGAAACATAAACATAAGTATGGTTCGTCTCGCCCGAGTTGGATTTTATGCCACGGGAAATTCCGATGAAACTAAATGTTTCTTTTGTGGAGTAATATACCATGACTGGATTTCTGGTGATGATCCTATGAATATTCATAGACGTATATCTCCTACATGTGACCTCGTTGTGAATGGTAACAGACATGACACTATTGGAGAGGAAACTGTGAGGAGACAAGAGCAAAGGGAAGTACAACCATCTTATCCCAATGGTTTAACAACAGGTCATGTTACGTTGCAGTCAAATGAAAATATTGCTCCGTCAAACATTTTAAGCAGCGGACGGCATGATGATAATGATAGGGATTTGACTTCCTCTGCTAGACACTGACACCACCATGATACTGTGGAAGATCAAACCACTGATATTTCACTCCCCGGGGCTCATGATAGTTACACTAATAGTAATAAAACTCTCACTAGTAACTGTAAAAATAATTCACAGAATATTTCTGCAAAGAATAATTCTACAGCATCTCATCGTGAAAGGGGTCCCAGTTATAATCATGAAGGCCTCCAAAATCCAAGATACATAAACTATACTCCACTACAAGTGCGAATAAGTTCATATGAAGGGTGGCCAGGATATTTAAACCAAACACCACGTGAGATGGCTTTAGCTGGATTTCTGTTCGCTGGTTACAATGACTATACAAGATGTTTCCATTGTGGTGGAGGACTGAGAAACTGGGAAGCAGGTGATGATCCATGGGTTGAACATGCCCGCTGGTTCCCGCAATGTGGCTTCCTGAAGCAAAACAAGGGAGAGAAATTTATACAAGCTGTATTGAAAAAGCATAATATGGTATTTTAATGTTATATTCAATGTGCACAAATAGGCAATGTCTGTTTCAAATAAAAAAGAGGGCTTTTATAGAACTGGTGGATTTGATTGATTTGATGATCTTGTAAATGTGCACACATTGGTCTAATATAACTTCAAAGCTTTTAAAACCCAATTTGCTTGATTTTTATACAACATTTTGGTTTACCCTAAACATATTTTGCTTAATCTCATGTGAATGCTAATTTACTTAAAACTTAACATTATTGATTTGAACATTTCCGAGATGTTATTTTAGAGTTATGGAAGTTTATCCGTTTATCCGGCTAAATATCTATATGGGAATCATGCGCTCATGGCGCAGCTGCTTCGCAATATTGTTGGCCTTCATTTATCTACAAAGGTGCACGAACAATAGAATTTACACTAGTTGTAATGTACAGCATTAATATTAAGCTGAAATTTAAAGAAGTGTTTGCTTTTCTTCACATATCAACAGATTTGACATATTTTTTATAAATTCACATTATATAAGATGCCTAACTAGGACTAATTCCGATATTTAATTTCTGTCCTATTTTGATGCGGTTTTTCACTCGAAATTCCTATTTGCTTTTTTGCTTTATCAATGAAATATGTTGGTTCTTGCAGATTCCGAATGTTAAGGTTATATACATTGTAGGGGGCTAGCAATATTTTTTAAATTGCCCATACAATATTTGTTTTATTTGAATGAAACTTCCTATTGAAAAACAATTCTGAATATCGTTTTTCTATTGCCTAATATTTTGCATAGCCATTTTATTTGATGTCAAATGCTTTTTTACATAAACCAGGCCGTTAGTTTTTTTATTTGAAATGCTTCCCATTCCATAATTTCCAGAACATTTATAGTTCGATATACGGTACGGGATTTGCTCATTGTTGAAGGAAATACGATGACCTATAGTTATTAACCTCTACATCATTTTGTCTCTGGTTGTGATTTGTCTCATTTAAAATCATACCATATATTCCTATTTTTGTAAAGTCCGTTTTGTTTAAAAAAATCTGACCATGTATCATGCCGTCTTTATGCAAGTATATATTGCTTTGCAGTTTGAAAAATAACAATTGCAATTGGAAGATTGCATATTGATATCAAGAGTTCACAAACGTGTATACTACAGTTAACTTGATTTTTGATTTCACATTAATGAATGGTACCTACGAAGTGGGCCTAAAGTTTATATTGTAGAAACAGTATATGTTATCTGAGTACATATTTATTTACGACTGAGCAGTATTTGTCAAATGCGTCATCGACTTAAAGATTTGCTTATATAAATAGTCATGACGTTAACGGAAGTATGTCCCTCAATGTTCTTCAATTTCTTTGTTTATATGGCCTTTTTAATATTCTTTATTCGAGCTTCACAGTTAAGTCTTTGTTAAACCATTGTGGTGACGTCAGCCTATTCATCTACCGTGGATTCTTTTATAGAATCAACGCTTCCTAAATCTGCCGCTGAAATTGCCTCACCGAATTATATTCAATTGTTTCCTTTGTGTGCCTAATTTCATTAAGTTTGAATTGGCTAATTTACTGATTTATGTTCACTAATGAAATTAATTTAAAAACTTACCTTTAATTTTTGTAATTTTTATATGCCTTCACTGGGAATCGAACCCTTCCTTGAAATCTGTTATGTGTGACTGACATCAACACATCGACGAAACCTCTCGGCTACCAATGGGTTACACTATAGATGTCTATTTTATATATTTAGATGAACATCTGATATACATCGGTTCATCGGACACACAGGGCTTGTACCTTTATATAGACACTATAGGCAGTCGTATAGTATGAGTTGGTAGCCGCGAGGTTAGCATGGTTAAAATCAATGAGTTAAAGATAGGGATTTGTCGGTTTAGGTTCGAATCCCTGTATTCTCTCTGTTGTTCCAATTCTTAAGTTATCCTGGTTTTATTCTAATTTTGCATGTTATAGTGGATATTTTTGTAATAATAGCGAGTTTTACCGGTTTTTGTTTTATTATTATTGGCTATTTCACATGTTCGAAACAAAAATCATTACATTCTATTTGTCAATTTTTGTTTCATAAATATAGTATGATTTCATCTGTTTTACTACATAATTTTACAAAGGTTTGTTCGCAAATTCCTATGCGAGAAAATCGTGATGTGCCTAGAGTGCTAGAAAAATTTCGATAACATACTTATTATATATACTTTATATATGCTTTTTGGCCGGGTTGTTGTCTCTTTGACACGTTCCCCATTTCCATTTTCAATTTTATTAGAAATAATTTCGAATATGTCTTATTTTGTATAAACAGATAATATTCATATGCCTGGTAATATAAATATCTTTAAAGGTAGAAGTGTTATATTGGTATTTTGTTAACCAATTAATTGTGATCTGAGATTTATCAATGCTTCGCTGGACACGATAACATGGTTATTTAAACTCACTTACAATACCTTCTAATTAAGAAAAGGCTTTAATTTTGAAAAGAAATTAACACAATAGTTTAAGTTACAGATACAATGGATAAGCGTAGATTCATGAAAAACAAACCATTCGCCCTCCGGGCTCATGGTTTCTTTTTCAAGAATCCACGCTTATGCATTGTATCTATATAACGTAGACGACACGCGCGTCTGGCGTACACAATTTTTACCATTGTATCTCTGACAACTTAATTTACAACCACTGGGTCGATGCTACTTCTGGTGGAGGTTTTCTCCCCGAGGATATGACTAGCACAGTAGTCAGTACTTCTGTGTTGACATGCATTATCATTGATATGGACATATTTATAAATTAACTGTTTACAAAACTTTAAATTTTTCGAAATTCTAAGGATTTTCTACCAAAGGAATATTATTACCTTAGATGAATATGGCAAAACCTTTCAGAATTTTTGCCCTCAATGTTCGTACTTCCGTAATTTCGTAATTTCGTACTCCATTTTGCCTTTTTAATTTCATTTTATAAGAGCGTCACTGATGATGAGTCTTTTGTAGACGAAACGCGCGTCTGGCGTACAAAATTTTAATTCTGGTATCTATGTTGTATCAACCTTTCTGTTTTCATGCAGCTGTTCCAAATTTATCATCTGATCATCTTTTATCAGATAACTAATTGTATTGGTATGTTTTCCATAAGAATTCACAACTATGTGATAGTTTCAACTTCCCTTTTCCCAGCAGTAACATACCCTCAGCACCATCGTATGGCGTTTACATATCTCAGTTAATACGTGTGCATGTTCCCACAATATGAACTTCATTAACAGTAGTGAATTTCTTACACAAAAAATACCCTAACAGAGTTATAAAGAAGAGCGACCTGAATCAACACTTTATCAGTTTTACGGTCACCATCAAGAAATGGTTGACCGATACGATGTGTTGGTGTATCAACTCACTATCAACAATATTTGGCGGTCTTAGATTTTTATATACTAGTTTAGTCGTCCGATCTGTAATTTCACCGATGGTATCCTAGTCCCAATTACGACATTTTGAATGAGTATGGATTCGCATGTCGAGTGGTGCATGCGTAGCAGAAGACGGTTATCCTGTCTATGCATCCGGTCTCGCTCCTTTTTGTGTTCATGCATTTCTCTCAGTATTGTTTGTTTGTTACTTTGATTTGTATATTCCTAATCGATATACGATATTTGAACATCGGTAAACTGCTGTCTATTTAATAAATTGGTTGATAAAGAATTATATTAGTAGATGTTTTATTGCTTTTCAGGACCCAAAAAATAACGGAAACAGCAGTTACAGTCATAAACAGTCACAAGAGTATCGAACTGTAACTTCAGATCAAAATACAACCACGGCTTCCACTTCCGGTTTGCAGCAGAATTATATGTACCAATCAAGTGTTAATGTCCAGGAACAAGCTAATAATCTTAACTCTGAGGAACGAAGTGACATAATTACCCCCTTGGGTATACAAACAGTTATATCTAATAGTAATAATAGTACCATTACAGCTTCTGGTGTAAATATCAGTTCTAGATCTGTTTCTACTACAAATATAATACATAATCAACAAGGGATATTGCAGACTGTTGCAGCTAGAACTGTTATAGAGATGGGATTCAGCGGACAACAAGTTGTCGATGCTGTGAATGAAATTGAGAGACTCAACTCAGGTAAATGGTCATTGAAATGTATGAAATTGAAATGTTCGGCTACGGTAATGAGCAATGGGTATTGATAGGTGTAATTCTCAGACCTGTATAAGTCATTGTACGTATTTCTCATAAAAGTCAGTAAGTTATCCTTTGGAACTCCCTTTTATTTATGTGTATGCTCATTCCGTCGACAGAAGAGGTATTCAAAAAGTGGTCTTTTCAGAAGTACTATCATTGACATGAACGACCCTGACTAGAGTTAAGGATCACCAATATCTTTTTTAAGATTATGTTTCCAATGAATTTAAATTATTCGATATAAATGATATCGTTATAATGTCAATTTGTAAAACATACTTATATAAATTTGACACAGTGCAGATTTGAAATTCACAAGGAGCGCGATCCAAGTCAGAATTCCAACTTAGGAATTATAAGAGTTTTGACTTTTACTTATTTAAATCCAGAACCAATCAGAAACAGTAAAATAACAAAAAAAATACCGAACTCCAAGGAAAATTCAAAACGGAAAGCTCTTTATGAAATGCCTAAATCAAAAGCTCAAATACATCAACCGAATTAAAATCAACTGCCATATTCCTTACTCAGTACATGCATTTCCTCATGTAGAAAATAGTGGATTGAAGCTGGTTTTATAGCTAGCTAAACCTCTCACTTGTATGATAGTCACATAAAATTCTATTATATTGTCAACATTGTGTTAACAAAACAAACTTGACAAAAATTGGGGTACAGCAGTCAACATTGTGTTATAAAGGACAAGTAGAGTTATGTAAGTATATATTATACGATACATGCAAAGTAATGTATTCTAATGGACATTAAATAAGAAATGTGTGGAGAGTCGTTATTGGTACACATGAAGTGAAAGATAGCAGAGGGACATTCAAACTCATAAGTCGAAAATAAACTGACAACGCCATGGCTAAAAAGAAAAAGACAAACAGACAGACAATAGTGCAAAAACACAATAAAGAAAACTAAAGACTGAGCAAAATGAGCCCCACCAAAAAAACAGGGGTAATCTCAGGTGCTCCAGAAGGGTAAGCAGATCCTGCACCACATGTGGCACCCGTCGTGTTGCTCATAAAACTCCATCTGAGAATCTTACACCAGATACAAAACATATTTGCAAATATCACATGAATCAATCGATTTACTTATTCTTAAAAAACGTAAATTTTATAAGGAATCGTATTTAAATGACAAGATTTTGAATCTTTGAAATGTGCACAGTAATAACTAAGGCAACAGGAGTTTGTCGATGTTCAAATCTCAAATATCGATTAAAGAGACAAATCAAGATTACAAACAAAAACTGAATGAGTCGCACGAAATCCGAAAGAAGCGAGACCAGTGGGATGACAATCCTAGCCTAGTAGGTCAGAACTTTACAAACACTCTGCACAGAAAAACATATGTTGTTTGCCAGTTCGGGAAGTATCATCTCAGAATGTATTATATGTTATGATTATATACAGATTCGTGTTGTCTGGTATGAACAGTTTTTAAAATAAACTCTTAATATTTTCTCATTAATGGAAAACTGCAGGGATTTTGATTCTTTTTTACCATAAGGATCAGAAAAAAGGCCACAAGTTACAAAAGGGACAATAAAAGAAAATCACACATTTAAGACACAAAAAAAGACCATGAAGGAATAACATCAGTTCAAAAAACACAGCATCCAAAACTTTGAGCAACAAACATAAACAACAGACTAGTGTGAACTCATGTGCTACATTAGTGACACCCGCCATGTTACTCCTTTTTAAAATTGATAAGTTAATCAAATAATCGGGTACCAAACAATACTATAAAATTGAGGAATGTCTCTGGTTTATCACATACAGAAGAGTAATGTCTAAAAAATAACCATCATGAAATCTCATTCAAGGTGAAGGAGGCACAAATATATCAGCAGTAGACATCATGAATGTTCTCCTCAGAGAAGACCATCAGCAGTCTAGACAAGTTTTGAATGTACCAGAAACAACAGAAGGAATGATTGGTGCTTCTTTCGATGGTAGGTTAAACCTTCTTTCATAGCAATAAACCAATAAACATTAACACAAGCATCGAAGCGACAAAGTGATTACTTTCTAAAATATTGTGTGAAAAACTAGGTATGATGCTTCATAGAGGCAAGCAAGGATTTGTTTTATGCTACGTTTTTGCCACTTTTTATGTGTTATGTGTTTTGCACTATAAGGTTCTGCGTTTCATGCTAATCGGTAAAAATGCAAAATACCATCCACGAAATAACTTAATCTACATCTTGCAGCATTATTTTATTTTCTACCGCTAACTAGACTATACCCTTGATTATTATACATATAACCAAAGTTCTTCTTTCCATTGGCATGTTGGCTTCACACATAATACAAATCAAAAACTTCAATATTTGTCCAGAATGATCTATGTGTCATAATATAATGACCTTCATCATGATTCACATATCTTATTACTTATAAACAACCATAATCATTTCTCAAATGTATTGTTCCATCGCATGTCTGTTTTGTGCCTGTTATGCTACAGTTCTTGAAAACAAATTAGTGTAGATTCGACCCGTCGTGTTGCTCATGTTAGTACAAACCCGGTCATAAGTCTAATTCGGTATGTCACATTCTGGAAAAGGGTGACGGGATTGTAGTTACGACATTTGGAACATATCCACTATCATTTGTGGAACGGATATTCCATAACGGTCAAGTAACCCGCAATGGCGTCCGTTAAATTTACGAAGAGATGATTTTAACTTCACCACTTTGAACTCTTGTTAAATGTGGGTTATTTAGTGAGGGGACATAATCATAATATTTGAAAAAGAAATAAAAGAACTTTGCATGATGTTTGTCGTTTTTGAGAAGGGTTTGAGTGAATTCTGCATCGTATAAGTACGAACACAAGTCGACCATAAGGGGTCCACACTTAATACCCATTGGAATATCGACTATCTTATGTCATATCAATCCACCAAACTCAATAAATATGTTGTCGATCAAAAAGTCCAGCATTTTGATGATATCATCCTCGGTATTTTTGTTTTTGAAATCATTGCGGTTCTTCATAAAGTAGGATTTTTCATAATCTAAAACACGTAAGTTGTATCAACAATTTCCATGAGGCAGACTGTAGAAAGAAGCTTTATAAAAAGAAAAATAAGAAACTTGCATTATCTATTAATTTCACACTCCGCTATATAAATGATGTTATTTTGCAGATATTTCAATTTTTTGTAACGATCAGTGATAATCTCAACAAACATAAAAAAAAAATTTCATATCTTGACTTTATTCAAGAAATGACAATGAAGATTGGTAGACAATTAGAGTTTTGCTACTCAATTTTATATTTTCATTGCTCAATTAATTTTTACCTCTTTATTTTTGCAGACACTCATTTGATTTTAGAAGAAAATAGACAGCTACAAGAACAAAGACAGTGTAAAGTTTGTAAGGAGTTTGACTCTACTGTCGCTTTCTTACCATGCGGACATATCATCTGTTGTACAGATTGTGCCCCGGCAATGCGTAAATGTCCCGTATGTAAAACGTATGTTAAAGGTACTGTAAAGACGTTCCTAGCATGAGGCGAAATGGAGGATTTTTACGATTAATGCGATCGTTAGTTTGAAAACGCACCAAAAGTTTAATTAGGCGATATATTTGCACAATGGACTTGAACAGACATTTGCATCCCTTTGTACGTACACATTAGTCATCGCTTCCATCCGAGAATATCAAACGGATGAAAATTTCAAAGATGAAATGAACAACAAGTAAAAAGTCATTAAATGATCGCATTATAGTAATTTTATACGATTTCTGTTGATAAAGATTTTCACTGAGAAAAAAATCACAGTTGACTACGGTCTACTTCGAGGAAAGGCTTGTTTTGTTTTAAAAACGACGAAAGTAGCTAAGGCAAGATAGTGATTTAATCCCGCCGTCGTCCATGACTGGTTTTTGTGATTGTATTTTACTAGACATTGCTTGTTTGTTTTCTCTACACATTTTGTTTTCAATTTAAAATGATTCGTTCGTTACAATTAATTATGTAAGAGGTAAATATCTGAATCGAAGCGAGTCAAACAAAATATATATGGCCTAGATTAATATGTTTGAATTGATATTGGCGTGCCTTTAATGCAAAATTTCATCGTATTGCTCTACTGTGTTGTCATAATCCTGATAGTTAGTGCTTTTGTACTGGCCTGTTATTACTTTAATATTGAAATTTATAAACTTTATGGGAAAAAAAAGCATGTAATTTTCGTTAAATTCTTAAGCTCGCTTATGCACGACTATTTTATGCTAATTTTGGTCTCATTTTGGATTCATTTTCTTTTTAATGCTTGTCGATATTTGTTATTTGCTTTTTTTTCATTATTTGGTTCCAAGCATTAACTTCTTTGGTACATTCTACTAATGTCTTAATGACCACAAAACAAACGTAAATACAGGATTTTGATTGAATCAACTAAGATATTTACTCCAGTCAGACACGTAAAAGTGTTATATATATACTATTTGTTCGAATACATAGACACATTAACTTAGATGTAATAAAACATATTTCACAGTGTTTTATTACATATAGTGTTGTTTTCATTTCTTTTTATCACTGGGTCGATACTGCTATTGGTGGACTATCAGTCCCCGAGGGTATCATCAGTAGTTAGTACTGAGGTATTTACATTATATCTAAAATTGTCAGTTTATAAATTTGGAAATTTTAAAGAAACTAAGGGTTGAACTCCCTAAGACAAAGGGGCCTCAGATGAATATGGCTATTATTTTTAGATCCTTTTTGGTCAAATAGGTCTTCAACCATTTCGGTTCTTATACATCCTTGGCTTTCAAATTTTCTGCTTTGAGCTTTCCTGATGAAAGTAAATCCATAAAAACGTTTCGCGTGAAATTTATAAAGTGTTATTTTCATTTTTGTAGTATTTGATTGATTGATTGTTGGTTGCTTAACGTCTATTTTAGTATTTGATGAACATTCAATACGTCTCATGAATAATTAGCATCATTATCTAAGAACAAATTCGGTTAATTTAATTTGCAGTCTAGAAGATCGAACTATTGATATGAGATAAAAAAAAATATCGCTTTCAAACTTCATTTGAAATATTTTCACTGCCTAAGATCATTCAGGTTTACAATTATTAATTTTGATTTTAAGAAAAATCGTGTGAAGGTGAATATGAGACAACTCCCCACTAGAGACCAAATGACATAGAAGTTCACAAAATTTGGTAACTGTACGGCCTTCAACAATGAGCAAAACCCAGAAAAAAGGCTCCGAAATAACAAATTATTAAACAATTCAAACGAGAAAAATAACTGCCTGATTTATGTACAAAACAATGAACGAAAAACAAATGTGATATAAAACAACATACGGCAACCACTTAATTACCGAAATATTTTGTTGTTGTTAAATTTTCAAGTATAAGACCGTTGTTTTGATTCGAAAAGTCGATGTGTGCTGTATTTTTATTGCAGTGTATACGTAGTTATCAATACAAATGATTGAGTGAAATTACATAGGAGGAGCTTATCAAGACCTTGGAAAATCCAGCGGCTGCTGATCATAATTTGTTATATTTCAATACACGCCTTCAACAGTTTGTTGACCGTTATCCTTTATCTGTTTCACAGATGTGACCATGGATACGTTCCGATCGTTGTAACCACAATCCCTTCCTCTTTTCCTTGAATGTGACAATTAGCAACACGACAGGTGCCACATGTGGAGCAGAATCTTCGCACCTTTCCGAAGCGGATTTCGTTTGTCTTATTTTTGTCATGGCGTAGTCAGTCTGTCTTCGAGTTATGAGTTTGAATATTACTATATTAGTTCTGCCTTTCTTTTAATTGGTACAATCCCCTCCCCCCCCCCCCCCCCCCCCAAAAAAATACCACAAACAAAGGACGAGCCTTTTGGTCATATAAATGACACAACTGTTTAACTATTCCCTTTAGTAATTCATCGTAATCAGTCTAATACGCCAAAAACAGATAATGTATCGACTTGTTATGTTGATAAATAGTATAACTACAAAATATTGGCACAGCAGTGGTATAGGCTACGATTACGACAGTAAATGTTAAAATAACATTTTGTTTCAAACATTCACAAGAACGGTATATTGAATAATTATTCTTTATAAGAATTAAGTTTGTCAGAGGTAGCATTCAAACTCTCCGCTGATTCACTTTGGATTTGCGATACAATAATGCGAGATCATTACATCCATGTTTATGTCACCTACGATTTGACGTCAGTTGGAGATGTTTGTTAGTGTGGTCAGCAGGTTCGGTTTTTAAAAAAAGTCAGTTCCAAAAGCAAAATTTGAGAGTCACCAGAAGATAGATTTCGATAGCTGATTCAATCCTGAAAAAAATCACTTATGATACAGGTAACAGGTAAAATGATGATATATACTATCTTTCATTTTTAATAGTAAATCTAACAAAACAGTTTAATCGTCATTATATTATTGTACATGCTATTCATATTTATTATAGTATTTGTTTATCTATATGAACAATGGGAATACATATATGTTGATATTTTTTAGGATTTCATGAATTCTTTGTTGGTTTTGATATGACTTTTTCAAATTCTGAAAAACGGTTTAACATGTTTAAGTATCAATTGATGTCAACGTGAATGCATTAAACCAATCACAACGTCATAATTTACACGCGGTGCGATAATTAATGCTAGAAGATCAATAACTGTATCACTATCATATCAGCAATGAGGTTGTCATTTTGAACCAAGCACGTGGCGGGTACGTTCGATTTCATTCATAATTGACTAGGATTGTTATTTTTCCTGCCAAAGGTTGAAGAAAGAAAGAAGGAATGCCTACCGTCACATATAATTTGACGAAAATAGTCCTGTAGCTAAATTAATCTATTTCATGGAGAGTACAACATAGATATGACACATGTCGGAAGTATTTACGATTGATTTAAAATATACTGGCATATGATTCAAAGGTGTCAGAAACATATGATAAAATCAAGAACTTTATTACATATTTAATCTACATTTCCATCCTTAATTGTATATCATCAAGCTTAAAATAGTGACTTATTCCAGCAGTTCATCCCGCCCCTCAATTTGACACTTAGTCTTTACTTGAACCCTGATTACATAAACCAGTATCATTTAACTGCTAAATGTAATTCTAATGGTTCCAAAAGTACTTCTTGTCCAAGCCCACATTTTTTAACTATATGAACAAGCAGTTAGAAGACGGTTTTTAAGTTTGTGCTTGATATCTGACGTTCAAATCGTGGGAAACCATTCAGCACGCTAGAGATTCCAGCTTTTGGAGAATTCCGTGGGTGATGTGTTGAAGGTAAAATGTTAGGTCCTACCAAATATGTTCTAGGTTTTACTTCATGCAGCAGTATAATGACACGAGTATCGTCTCCATTGATCAGGTTTTTGGAACATAGCCAAATAATTTGGTCTACAATGAAATACCGTCAACGATATTCATATATTTTCCTCTGTTACTCTTCAGGAAACTAATCTGCAATTACATTTGTACTTCACTGCATGTGAAAAAATACTTTATCTACAACAATACGAATATTGTTTATGTAAAATTGAGAATGGAAATGGGGAATGTGTCAAAGAGACAACAACCCGACCATAGAACAGACAACAGCAGAAGGTCACCAACAGGTCTTCAATGCAGCGAGAAATTCCCGCACCCGGAGGCGTCCTTCAGCTGGCCCTTCAATGTTAATCACCTACAACTCCTAAATTGTACTGAGGTACATATAAGGTCAAGGTTAAAAGAAATAAATTGTCCTTTTTAAATTTAATTGTCAAAGTAAAAACTGTTAAAAACATAATATTTTTTAAATGTTGGCAGACTTTTATATGATATTCCTACAGATTATGATGAATTGCAATGGACATCCCCCTATAATGAAATAATTAAAAAAATTGATAATGTTTTCACAATGAGACATAGTTATCAAATTATCATTGCCTACTAAACATTACATTTTCAAATATTTTTTTAAAGACTGAATCATAACATTGTCTTCACAATAACTGGTTAACTCAATCGGAGAAACATCTGAATTTGAATTTAAATGGTTTTAGAAGATAACATTTTGCAATATTGTCTTTACAATAACTGTTTAATTCAATGGACGAAAAATCAAAACAACTTACTTTAAATTTGATAACTAAACACCTATTGCAACGGAAAATAAATAATACTAGTGTATATAAAGTGCGGATCATAAAATACCATGTTTATTGTATCTGCCATATATTTCAAATGCAAAATGATAAATAAACAGACGAAGAATTAAGATTTTTAAATATAATATGATATCATCTATAAAATGTAATGTTTTCATAAATTCATGATGCAGATAAGAGACACAGAAGGCTTTTTATCACGTCTACAGCCACCCAGGTGTAAGATCAATACACAAATAGGAACATATTTAGAATATTTTTCAAACAGAACGTGCAGCAGTTTTAATGGAATGAATATTGTCTGTTGTGCATGTCCAACATTCATATACGTGTATAAATCCACAATTAGCTGATTACACCTCCATTAATCCCACATCGACATAATCGATTGCATTTAAAGTTAATAAAGATCGTTTTTAATAATTTATATTGTAATTTGCGTTGATTCTATAAATACTTGGTCTTATTGTACATTGAACAATCATATTTTATAGAAATTGCGTTAAAACAGACCTTTAAAACAAATATTTTTTTGTTTTCAAAACGTAAACAGATACAGGTTTTCTTCTCATCATCCTTTATTGTATAATACGGTTGTTATTGGAATGTGACAGTGAAAATGAAATTAATGAATCAGAACTTTGTATCTTAAAGGGGCATTAGTTGTCAAGTTTCTGCTCACCGATCTGACCTACATTATCAATTTTTGTTCACTTGTTTTTTGCATACTTAAACGTACATCAAAATAACAAAATTTTCGAAAGAAACAATCAATAATGCATAGACTCGGTATAGTGTATCAACAACTCGAGTGTATCTCCGACTAGACGCCATCTAAATTTCCATGGCATCGTGATGACCTACGAAAACTGCAGATGACTCGATATGAAAATGATGAATATGAATATAAAAAGACATACAAGCGCTAGCAATCGTATAATGACGATTTTATGTGTCTGTTTGATCTCATGTTATAGATCGAAATCATATGTGAATCATCGCTCTTCCTGCATGAAATAATATTTTGTGGAATGGAGAATTTAGCGAAATGGTTATTCCTTGTGGCTCCCTTGTTTCATTTCTCGATGTTCAGATTTTTCTGATGAATGAAAACGCAGACCACATGCTGAACACAAGCGCAACCCATCTCCACTTTGGTTCAAATGAAAGGTTGCCTGAATACGGATTTAACTCAGGTTGAATTGACTTGCAAGTCAATAACATGCCGGCGATGTTTTAGCTCATTTAGCCAAAATTCAGTCGAAATGCCTGCTAATTGTGAAATAGTGGGGTTTTTTTCATATCTTGCTTGAATAAATGTTTGATCTAATTCGTAGCTAAAGTCCC